CGGGCTGGGCAGGTTGACCAGCGGGCTGGGCAGGTTGACCAGCGGGCTGGGCAGGTTGACCAGCGGGCTGGGCAGGTTGTCCAGCGGGCAGGTCGGCAGGTTGCCCAGCGGGATGCGCAACCCTCGCCTGGTTGCGCTGCCGTGGTTGAACAAAGTCCTGCACAGAATAAAATGTACTGAATTAGCTAGGGCAATATAGTATTGCTAGTTTGACATCACGTCAGAACTTCGATGCATTCTATTAAAATGTGTACCGAGTGTTCAGGCTAAAACATGCTAGTACGTTGGGTTGCCTATGCACTGGCTGCAGGGGTTGCAGGCGCGGGGTGCTGGCGGGGTAGTGGTGGGGAAGCTGCTACTCCCCCGCCACCCGCCCCACGCCTGAAGCCCCTGCAGCCAGTGCATAGGCAACCCAACGTACTGGGGTCTAGACACAAACAACATTAAAACATTTACTTACATCATCATCCGAGCTGTCCTCGGCTAGGGGCGCGGGCGCCGCTGCTGCCACCGCGGGTGCCGCTGGGGCCGCTGGGGCCGCGACGCGCGCCACTCCCCGTCTCCCTCCCCTCGCTACTCTTGGCCGCGGCCCCGCGGGCAGCAGCTCCCCTCTGGCTGGGCCAGGTGCCGGGCCCTGTGGTACCCGGGCCGCTCCAGGCGCGTCGGCGGGCTCCGCTGCTGGCCCAGCAGCTGGTGCAGGTCCAGCTGCTCCAACTGCACCTGCAGGTGCTGCAGCTGCTCCAGCTGCACGTGCAGGAGCAGCGGCAGGTCCACCTGCACGTTCCCTGTTGTCCAGCATCATACGGTAAAAGTACCTGTCCATACTGTGACAGGCTGCCCGGAGGAACCCGCCGATGTCTGGCTGCTCTCCTTCCAGGTAAAGAGCCCTGGAAAGAAAATGATTCCTGTTAATGTCCGCAACATTTGTGTCCGCGTGGGTACGAGCGTTATAACAGTTCATTCTTACCTGCTGTCACGAATATGGTCATCCTGCATCCGGTAATTCGCCCTTTGTCGCCGTCGCACCTGCACAAAGTTTTGCACCTGCCCCCGGTCTCGTGCTCGACTATTGTCAACAGCACGCAAAGCATCTGCAAATAATTAAAAAAACTATGAGCACTTAAAACACGTTACAGGAAATGCATTTAAGAATCACGGCTCGTTCTTATTACGGGTACTATTTTAGCAGGTACTATTTTATAAAACGTTAACGCTAACTCGAAAGAAGATGACTTTTGGCGATTGACGTTGAGCTTTTACTCTTAACTATGTGGGCGGCGGGGCGCGGTGCGGCCTAACGGGGCGTGGCGGGGAGCGGCGGGGAGTGGCGGGGCGCGGCGGGGAGTGGCGGGGCGCGGCTGATCGGAAATAGAGCAGGGTATGCATTCTTACCGACAAACTTCCAGAAGTTTGGATGGACACCCACTGAGGTATTGAGACATTTGTGAAATGCCTCGACCGCATTGTTCGTCCGAAAGTGCAGATGTCCGATGGCAAGTATTTCCACCCCTACCTAGAGAGCAAAACACAATTCTTTACGTATCACGCAAGTACATCCTAAAATACATATCATCGATTACGGTATGATTTAGAATTCTGCAAGCGCAGTTTTTAACAACGTCCATCCCTTACCTCATTAATCCAGTACGTTCTCATGTACCGGAGAAGAGCAGCAAACTGGGGCGTCAGTCCATTTCTTGCCACATGGTTTTCGACGTATTCGAGGCCAGCAACAATCAGCTCCATTGGGAGCAAAGGAAGTGTCATGAGCATCTTTTGTGCCCTCGCTGCCTCCGGGGCCTCCTGCAGCAGGGGCTTGAGGTGGCACTCGTCAACAGCACGGTGAAGCACCGCCTGTAAAAGTTAGAAAAATAAATATTAAGCCGAAAGCAACCTGACTAGGCACTGGCTGCGAACGCCCCCTCCTCCCCTGGTTGTGGATTCGGAGCGGGTTCAGAGCGAGCCCTGTGAAGACAATAATACTGTACCGGATGCAGGCGTGCGGCCGGGTTGCAAACTTGCACGAGGCCGTAAGGCGCCGTGGTGAGCGACGGTAGGCAAGCCCACCCGCACGCCTGCATGCGGTACAGTATACACAAAATAAAGGAAGGGGGCCGTGGACCACCCTGTATTACCCACCTGTCCAAAGTGAAACCAGCATCCATGCACTTCGATTTCAGGCCAGACTCTGCGAAAGCCACTGCGTAGTGCCGGCTCAAAGTCCGCCATTAGGGATGCCGGTCTCTGGATGCCAGGCACATGGTTACATATGCACCGTAGAACGGCCTCATAGGCGTCAGTAGTACGCCGCGTCATAAGTGCATACGCCACAGGGTACAACTGCGCAAAGAACAGTGTTGTTATAAACTTTACAGTTCACATGTGGAAGAGTGGACTATGAACACTGGTAAAGTGTGAGACTGTTATACTCTAGCAAATGTGAGGCACTGTGTCTCACATTAGCTAACTAGTAGAACACCCAGTTCTTCACATTAGCTAAAGTACAACACTCAGTGCCTCACATTAGCTAATGTGAGCCACTGGTTGTTCTGCTTTAACTAAAGCGAGGCACTGGGTGTTCTACTTTCGCAAAAGTGGGGCACTCGTGTTCTACTTAGGTAAAGTGAGGCACCGTCACATTACCTAAAATATGACGGTCTACCACGCTAACAGTGAACTGCACACAGTTTGGTTTATAGCGCATCTAACCCGAAAAGCGGTACTAAGTACTTCTGATTCCTACCTGCTTCTTTTGGCCATGGTTATCCTCGTCAATAACATGGAGGCTGAACAGCTGCTCTAGGTTAAGATTCAGAGGGATAGACTTAAATGTGCCGTCCGCGTGGGCCCTCCACCCTGGCCTCACAACTAAATCACTAAATGTGTGTGATACAAACACAGCACATTGAGTTCCGTCCGGAGCAACGAAGGATTCTCGAAAGAAGTCGTTACCCTCTGAATCCTTAGCCCAGTTCGTCCAGTTAGGGTGGCGCAGTGTCTCCTGCAGGTTCAGAAGGTCGGTCGGCGTAGGAGGCACATGCGCCCTCCTGATTCGCTGCATCATTTGAGATGCAGCAGGAAACGCATATGCCCGTGCTCCAAGGCGAAACCTGTGAAAATTAAAATACGTTTTTAAGGGCTTGCCCGTAATAAGTATCTCCTTATCATCACGTACTTATTGCTGACTGACCTTGCACTTGCGTTGTCATACAGACGACGATAATCCTCGGAACTTTCCCTTGCCAAGCGCCTTAGCTCATTTTTGAAACGTATTAAGTCCAGCATTTCCAAATCGGGCCCGTGGTTGTGTTCCCGAATTGGGTACACATTGTCACCACTGAAGGCCGCAGATCCCTGGCAGCCTCCAACTTGACACTTAACATGCGTCAGCACATCACCAATATGGGACAGAAGGTAAATAAAGTCGAGATGGAGAAATACAAATCTCCCTCCAGAAAGACCTTCAACTCTCTCCATTCTCCTGCAACAAAACAAGAAAGCGATAAAGAAAGAGCGCACTGATACACTGTGAGCACATCACGTAATTACACTGAAACGTGTTGGTACACTTTACACTGTAAAAAAATATCTATGAAGATTGACGATAAATTATGGAAAATTTCACTGTAAATTAACTACTATTTCTCACAGTGTATCGCCATTCCGTTTCAAATGGGGGGCCGCGGAGGAGGCGGGGGGCGCCGATTTGGTTCGAAAAACATAACTAGCCTACCCTGCCTGCAAGAGAGAGAGAGAGAGAGAGAGAGAGAGAGAGAGAGAGAGAGAGAGAGAGAGAGAGAGAACTTTGAACATGACATGGCCACTTATCGAGCCACCGACCGCCGACGGGTAGTACCCGAGTGCCGTGTCTGCCGCGTGGCTACACTCCGCCACCACCATCTTCCGAGCCGGGAGCTGCCTCGGGTAAGCTGGGCTGCCGATCGCTCGCCTCCTCTATCAAGGTGGTCGCCTCCCCCCCTCCCCTTTCGTCTCTAATGAGCCGCCTAAAAGGTAGGCAATTTGTGCCACAAAAACCCTTTAAGTAGGCAACCCACTGTGCACCCCCCCCCCC